CATGCCCTTGCTTCCCTTTGAGAAACAAAGAGTGCACCCTGCAGACAAACACGCATCCGTGGGGAGCGATTTCTCACACAGCCAGTTGGGTCTTGAATGAAATGGATGGGAGGGGTTTACTGCGTCTTAAAGTCGCCCTCGACGTTCCAGGTCAACAAGCCCTGCGGAAAGGTGCAGATCCGCACCGCCGACATCTCGGAGATCCCCAAGTGCAACTGCAAGCCCGTGGACGAGAAGCCCTGCGGGTTCGAGTCGGAGTGCCTCAACAGGATGCTGATGTACGAGTGCCACCCCGCGGTGTGCCCGGCGGGCGCCAGCTGCCAGAACCAGGGCTTCACCAAGCGCCAGTACCCCGAGACCAAGATCATCAAGACCGCGGGCAAGGGCTGGGGGCTGGTGGCCAAGAGGGACATCAAGAAGGTGAGGGGTCGCCCAGGCCCGGTTGGCACGGCCCGGGTCCTGCCGGCTTATCCTGGGCTTTGGCACCGGTGCAGAGCGACACTCGCGGGCGACGTGGCAGAGAGGGCAGGGGTCTGGACTCGGAACCAGGGCCGTGGGCTCGAGTCCCCGCTGTCATGCGCCCGAGAAATCGGAACTTCGCCCAGTCGTGAAGCGTCCAGCCAAATAAACAAGTGCAGGTGTAAGCTGCTTTGGGCAAATTAAAAGTAAATATAACTTAGCTGTAAATAGAAATTGTCCTATAGTTCAGATGGTACTTTTTACTTTGTGACTGACATGTTTTGTAGGTATAGTATCTTTTTAAAATTGGGCCCAACTTGGCACAAAATGTCTTATGTACCTGATAGGTAAACAGTCATGTGTCTTTTGACACTGCTGGAAACGGCCTTTACGTGTGCTATTACTGCTGTCCGGTGGACGATTCTGTGGACTGTGTTAGCTGTTCGGATGCCTCGTGGTTAAGGAATTAGATTTGCTGGTCTGTTGAACAGAATCGGTGCCACCCAAAACTTGGACTGCAGGCTCTTATTGTGCCTGGGTTTCTCAGGCTAGTCTTGCGCCATCAGCAAGATTTTAGAGGCAATATAAAGAATGAAACTTGGGACTCTGCCCTCTGTTGCGAAGTTGAATTTGATGGATAAGAGCCAAGCAATAATAAGCTTTGTGAGTTCTTTGAAGAAAATAATTTTCTTCTAGATGTTTGCTCCTTATTTAAGCAGGTCATTTGCTCTGTGTAAACAGTATACACACATTTCCTTTCTGAACTGCAGGTTGCCTTTTGTATATTGTGTTGTTTCCTCTCAGTCTTCTGTCCCTCCTTGGGTCCTTTCACCTGTGGCTATAACTAACTCCACTCTTCCTTAGAGCAGAGCTGGTGCCTCACTGTGCTGTTCCCCATCTCTCCTGCAGGGGGAGTTTGTCAACGAGTACGTGGGAGAGCTGATTGACGAGGAGGAGTGCCGAGCCAGGATCAAATATGCGCAGGAGAATGACATCACTCACTTCTACATGCTCACCATCGACAAGGTGAAGAGACAGGCCTGCGTTAAAAAACCTGTTTCGTACAAAGTATCAATTTACTCAAACACTGGGTGTTGAAAAAAGGCTTCTTATTGTTCAATAGGAAAAATAAGACTGAAGTTTGACTCTGTGGTTCAGAAGGGCTTTGAGTCTGGTAAACATTTACAGAGTCTGCCAAAGAGAAACAGTTACACAGCAACTGTAAAAACTACATTGCTTTATTTAATGAAAAACATCTACTTTTAAACTATCCTGTTTATGTAGGAGTGAGAAGCACACTGCTGAACAAAGAGTCATCAGTGGAGAGCCACAAAACTGTAGCTCAGCTGCTCTCCTGCTGATCTGTGAGCTCTTATGAGAAAGTCAGGAAATATATTGTGCATATTGTTTTCTTTGCTGTTTTGAAAACCAAGATGAAAGCTTAAAAACGACTGGTTCCAGGGTGTTTACCTGAATTCCCTTTTTTAGCTTAGCTGTGCTCTGCGGATGACAATTGGTGTGGCAGTAATAGATGCAATAAAAGCATGTCACAAATCACAAGGAAAGAATTCAAAGTGTAATGTAGGGATTGTGAACTGTAATGATAGTAAAAAAAGATACACAGGAAACGCAGTGCGAGATTTAGAGGTGATTTGTTCGTGAAGGGTTTCTAGCAGTGTTTTCTCCCGAAAGCCCACACGAGTTGGGTCTGTGTGTGGTTTTTGTCCCCGGAGTTGGCTGACTCCGCAGTACAGCTCCGCGTCGCGCTCACGAGAAACACGGCCCTGTGATGACAGTGGCGGGGCCAGTGAGACCGTGAGCCAGAGGAACAGTATTGCGTTGGGAGCGCCTCACTCGAGGGTTGTGGGGTTGCTATAGAGGACGTACAACAGCCAGGGACCTTCTCTCATTTCTCAGTTGTGTCCTCAAGCTGTTTGACGCACTCAGATAAGCTCCCCAATGTTTGCAGTACTTGGACAAGATATGTCTGTTTGTGCTCCTAAAGAGCCGAGTAAGTGAATCGATCAAGAAATATATTTTGTGGTGATTTTCATTGGAACAGATGTCAGCAGGAGTTCTGCTTCAGACAAATTCAAAACTAAAAGAGAATATTCGTCTTTAGTTTTTTTTGTATTTTGATGCTAAATATGTTTTCCAGTTTGATTTCTACACCCCCATCTCTAATTGTGCAGTTGTCCAAGGCAGTGTGGCTAAATGAATTGTGAAAATACGTATTGGTCTAAGTGTAATAAGAGACACAAGACACAACCCAAGTCATTCCCAAGTCATTCCACATCAGCTTTCAAGACAATACAGCGCATTACAGGGCACAGAAAGAGTAACATGGCTTCATGAGTGCTAGATAGGAGTGTGCAGGAGCAAACGGGGCGATCTCGAGCACAGGGATGTCGGCGCAGCGCTGGCGGTGAGTGGTGTGCGCTGAGGTGCCGCGCGGGGAGGGAGGGGGTCAGAGGGGGTCAGAGGGGGTCAGAGGGGGTCAGAGGGGGTCAGAGGGGGTCAGAGGGGGTCAGAGGGGGTACTGTCCTTCAGCCGGCGTGGACCTTGACGCTGTGCGCCTGCCCCGTCTCCGCAGGACCGCGTCATCGACGCCGGCCTCAAGGGGAACTACTCCCGCTTCATGAACCACAGCTGCCAGCCCAACTGCGAGACGCAGAAGTGGACGGTCAACGGGGACACGCGGGTGGGCTTGTTCGCGGTCTGCGACATCCCTGCGGGTGAGAGCTGGGGGGGTCACGTGGCCGAGTGCCGACCCGCTGTATCCCGCCAGGGCCAGATCTAGCTACGGCAAACTGGCTCTGGTGACTGCAGTATATACACAAGTCTTGTAATGGAATAATCTGGTAGTAACATCTCTTCATGCATGACGTCTCGGGAAAGGCACTGCATAAAATCACTTCCTGAGATATACAAGTAACGTTGGTTTCTAAGTGCATTCAATGGATGTAGGACTAGACCTAAGGGTTTTTGTAGTGCATCTTAGTTATTAAGATGACTATTTAAAGCAGCGTGCGTTTGTAGCCCTTTACACTTGACTGAAGCAGTGTAAGGGGGATGGCTGTGCTTAAGGGTGCAACGCCAGTGTCCAGTAGTTGTGCTTGCTTTTACCGCTGCAGTATTTCCCATTTTTTCTACCAGTTTGGTATTTTTTAAACCGTTAAGGCCTGCTCACTGATGGTGCGCCCACGTCAGCTGCGGAGAGTCACAGATGGTGCACAGGCTGCCAAGACCGTGTGTTTCTTTCGCACCCTGAGCCCAGGGTGTGCATGGGGCCTCATGTGTGCCCTCCCTCCCCCTCACACCTGTTTGACAAGCAGCCCAGCAGCTGCCGTGGGCATCGGGCATGTGTGTTGTACCCATGCCGAGTGATTCCTGCTGTGTACAGGGCCCCTCTGTGCAGCACAGAGTGGGTTTCTAGCTGCAGGGAAATAGCAAAGCCCCTGCAGCACCAGAAGTCTTTTACAGGGTGCCCTCTAAGGCAAGCGTGAGTAAACTACCTGGACGACCCGGTCTGGTCACCCAGTTGGTCTTAAGGTGTTGATCCTGTAAGTGGGTCAAACAGGCCCCCGTTGGCGCGGTTCTGGCGGCAGCTCGGCATGGCGTGGTGCGCCGCTCACGTTGTCCGCACTGTCCACAGGCACGGAGCTGACCTTCAACTACAACCTGGACTGCCTGGGGAACGAGAAGACCGTCTGCCGCTGTGGCGCCCCCAACTGCAGCGGCTTCCTGGGGGACAGGCCCAAGGTGAGGGGCTCCCAGCCAGTCCTGGACAGGCTCCCATTGACTTTGTCATGGCGTGACGGCGGTTATAGTGTCTCGCGGTAGTGAGTGATCCTGGCCCAGGCCTCGCCATGCGGTGGCATGACTGCTCTGTTCCCAGGGTGATTTTACCAGGCACGTTTCCCCCAGGTTCTGGGCTGCGAACAGACCAGAGGTCATCTGTTTCTGGTCTGAAATGTCCAGCCGCAGCAGGTCTCGTTTCCTGCTCCTGAAGACTGGGAGATGAGCGCCAGCTCCCAGCAGTCTTGCGGTCGGGCCCGGGGTGTGTGAATTGAACGTGGGGTGGCGTTATGGGGACAGTCAGGCCTCGGCGTGCTGTTATTTCGGCCCCTAGGAGGTGAAAGCACGAGGGGGCCCAGTGACGGCGTGCTCGTGTCCTGGCGTGCCGGATTACAAGAGCTCTCTCTCTCCCCTCCCGCCTGCGCAGAACGCCCCCAGCGGCGCCTCGGAAGACAAGGGCAAGAAGGCCAAGAAGAAGCTGCGGAGGCGGCGGGCGCGGCACGAGGGGAAGAAGTCGGAGGACGAGTGCTTCCGCTGCGGCGACGGCGGCCAGCTGGTGCTGTGCGACAAGAAGGGCTGCACCAAGGCCTACCACCTGTCCTGCCTGGACCTGACCAAGCGGCCCTTCGGTGAGGCCCTCCGTTTCATGGGCGGCGCCGTACAGTCGGAGCGCAAAGGCACACAGAGCGGGCGGCAGGGTTGCACAGTTACAGGGAGGGGAAGCAAGGGGGCATAGAACCAGTTCAGTCCTGTCCAGGTAAATACAAGCCCCTCTCAAGAAGGAGGTCTTGAGTCTAGATTTGAAGGAGCTGAGGGAAGGTGACCGAGATCCTCAGGGACAGAATTCCAGAGCTCTGGGGCGCAGGGTGGTGGTCAGACAGGTGCTGAGGTGCTCTTCTCGCCCTGTTGGAGGCGCCGCTGGAGGGCGAAGGGGTTCTGGAGCGCCGGCGAGCCCAGTCTGTGCCGCTCTTCCTGCAGCTCTTGGGGTTTGTGTGCTAAATCAGAATAGCGCCACGTGAAAGGCAAGTTAGAGTTCCACACCTTTCAAATGGTTGTGAACCGTTTGTACAGACAAAGCGCCAAAGGAACAGGTTGTAGCTGTGTGCAACTTCACACGCGTTTCCTGAAGCAGGGGTTAATGACGCTGTCGGTCCTCGGTGGTGTATAGGGTGCATACCCTGTACCCCGGTGGGTATTCTGTCTGTGGCTTTAATTCCTTTAGTTGCACTCGGTGAATCTCCCCGCCGGGACGGGCCCCTGACGCCTTGTGTGTCGCTGCTGTTTTCCTGCAGGCCGGTGGGACTGTCCCTGGCACCACTGCGACGTCTGTGGAAAAAACTCTGTGGCGTTCTGCCAGCTCTGCCCAAACTCTTTCTGCAAGGCGCACCAGGAGGGGGCGCTGCGCCCCTGGGGCACCTCTGGACAGCTGTGCTGCCAGGAGCACGAGGACCAGGAGCTGCACCCCAGTCTGGACAGGAAGGAGGCCGAAGCAGAGAGGCCGCCCGCCGACAGGCAGCGGCCTGCCAAGAACTCCAAGAAAGCATAGGCCTCGGGGGGACGGCCTCAGACCAGAGACTCACTGCAGTGCCAAACTGCTAACACTATCCTGTACATAAATACCACACGCCCACGTCTTCACAACCTTCAAGTACTGTACAGCTTACGTTGTTTTCATCAGGGAAGCCCAGATTGTTGTTTTCTTTTGTTTAGTTCCACTGAGCCATCAGAACAGGTTAATTATTTTGACATAGTTTTTTTTTCTAATAATGCATCTGCACTGATCAGCATCTGTGGTAAGCACAATGTTCAAGGCTGCAAAAAAAAAACCTCATAACTTTCACAGCATTACAGTTAAACTTGAATATTTTAAAGTACTTTTACTGAAAAAAAATCTAAAACCTAGAGATGTATATTAAAAGACCAAAATAATAAGACTGGAAATATGTTTTAGAGTTACTTTAAGTTTACCAGCTGGTAAAAGTGTTTCTAGAAGAGGTAATATCGTAAAAAAGTAAGAAAAGACACTATTTGTAGCTCTTAACAACTTTTCATGTATTAGTGTAGTTTGCATTTAATAGCTCAGTACCTTTTTTTTTGTAGCCCGTCTTGAATTTGTGAAGAATAGTATCTTTAAATATTTCAGGGTTATCAGAGTCTACCCGTGTCAGAGACAAGTATTAAAAAAAAAAAAGGAGAGAAAAAACGATAATATTCAGATTTAAAGTTTGTTTACTTGATTTTCCTTCTGATCTGTTGGTGAGTGATGAGAAGTCAGTTTGAAGCCTTTTGTTTGTCTTGGTGTTCAGAGTACTTTAAAAAGGGTTGCTAGTAAACACTGTCAAAGGAACATTTCATGTGCCTACTGCTACTTCTTTCTCTTCGTCGTGGGGAATCGCTAAAGCGCTTGTACTATAAGAAGCAGAAGGGGCTGGGTTTCTTAAAACAGGGGAGAGGCTGCAAAAACAAATGCAGGCCGATTCCCCCAGCACATAGAGGGGAGTCAGAGGTGGGATGTGAGCTGAGATCAGCCAGAGAGGAGACAGACCTCAACCCCGGAGGAGCATTCGTTATTGAAAAGACTCTGGGTTACGGTTTGTAATCACTCAACCAGAGAAAACGTGTCTTTTCCACACGGCTTTAAATCCTCTTATCGTAGTCCCCTCTCCTGTACTCTTTGGTTTCAGCCTGCTCTGCTTGTTTGGACCAGCACTGAGGGAAACGCTCATGGACTCCTTTCTCAATGTGTCCTTGCACCGCAAGTTGTCCACCCAAAAAAATAAATAGAAGCTTTGAGTCTGCATCACTGTGATACAGGCATCACTGAAAGGCTATAGCATGATCATTTTAAAATGCCATGTTTTAGGATCATCTGACTAAACGTGCTGGGTTTGTCATAATGCGATATTCCTGATCACATCAGGTGAACTTTTCCAGCCTGCTGTTTATTCTCAGAGGACAACAGACTTCCTGGAGAAACCCAGCCTGAACCGAAACAACCGTGGCAGGACCCACAAGGACCGTGCGGGAGGACAGTCTGGGAATCAAGACGGCTGGAAGACGCCCTGCTGTCTCCAGTATCCCCTGGGTCTGTCCATCCTGTCTTGGGTTAAAAAAAAAGCCAGAGCTCTTTTCAAAGCATGATCAGTTTAATAATTGGTTTTCCTTCACATGCCTGAAGTGAATTGCCCATTTGAAAATGACACGTGCTGAGTAGATGGTGTTACTCAAGTTCTCCAAAATGCTGCTTAGCCTGTAGGGATGGGTGATAACATGGCTTCAATAGAAGTCACAGCACCGATTATCTCCTTTCTCAATTGTTTGACACCCCGAACAGGATTAAAGCAGGAATGCTGTGTGAAGCAGTGGTCACAGGTCTGGCTATGTAATGGAAGGTTGCAGGTTTGATTCCCAGGCGAGACACTGCTGTGCGCCCCTGAGCAAGGTATTTCAGCTGAGCGGATCCATAAAAAAGCCACTGGGAATCTATGACTTCAGGCCTGCAGGAGGCTCTGCAAGTTGAGTCCACTATGGGCTCAGGGACTGTACAGGTTGTATCTAGCCCTTTGTTACACACATGGAGAGAGTTTGTTCCTCCAAGGAAGGGAACTGTGTGGAATGGTAAAGTTTGTGGGGGGATTTTAAGTAAAATGAGCAGAAACGAAATCCAGGAGAAGATGGAGAATTGCTATAGATGGTGTACATCTCGGTTATGCCGGACCATGCCTGTTTTGCGTTTGGGGTTTTATTTTACTTATGAAATTCAATAGTTAAGAGGCAACCTACAGCTAAAAGTAGTTTTGAGTAGAAAAACATCCAGGTGGATAGTGCGGGCTGGAGTGGAAACCAGTGCGTGTGTGGACCTCCAGCACCAGGAGGGGGATGCTCTGCCCGTAGAGGTGTCGATGCAGCACAAGAGCAGAGCTTGGTTTTGGCGAGCCTTCGCGCGGATGATGGCAAGACGGCGGTCGTGCAGTGAGCGGACTCGAGCTGTAGGGTGGTCTCGCGCCAGTGTCTTTGCGTGTCCTGGACCTGCCCTGCGGGCAGCGTGATGTTAGCAGTGCCCTGCATCTCAGCTGCAGCAGGGGTGTCTGTTACAGGCGACGCAGATTTCAAGGGCTTGTTGGGCTAATCTCCCTGGAATACCTTGATGATGGGGGTCCAGCTTCCATTATACAACTATCATCAGATTAGCGTTATAGGCTATGGACCCTCAGTTCTATGAATCTAAAGGTGCTGGCCCTACTTCTAAATTACATAGTTGAGGAATCAAGTGGATCCTAAGTATAGGGTTTTGCCATTAATTGTCTATAATTTGAGGTCATTTTTCCATATAGCAGTCTTCCTTGTTGCAGATGATAAGCCAGCAAGAGGCTGATCAGCATTTCAACATGAGACCACTTTTTTTCTCATTAAAATGCTAAAACGAACTTCCTGCTTTTTAAATTGCATGCGTACTGTTGCCCCTATTGCAGGGCAGAAGTACAGTACTGGGGTACAGACAGGACAACATGATGCCGAGTGGGTAGCAGAAGCCAAGTATAATTACTGTAATACTACTAATATAATGTAATACTAATCAGAAGCAGAAATAACAGCAAGCAAATGTAAATAATTTTTATTTAAAAAAGGCTTTACAATCTGTACCTCTTCAAATACATTTTCATTCACTTCATACAGACTTTAACAGTGTTTGAAAGCTGCTTCTTGCCAATAAGCATCAAACTCCAGCTGTCGAGTTTTAGAATGAGGCTGAAGCTGTGGCCCAGCTGGTACCGAGCCCAGCTCTGGAACCCTGCTCCACTGCTGCCTTGACCAACTACAGCATCACTTTCCTCCACTGTGTTTTATTTGGAAATAATCTTAAATGTTGCTGGGCCCTACCACAGCCAATAAAAAAAAATCAACTTTTTAAAAATACAAACTGCATATATTTTCTTAAATTAAGATACTGATTTCGAATGATTGTAGACGAGAAGAAGTGAGACTCTCCCTGCTCCAGCACTGGGACACTCCTAGGTCCAATACAGGTCTGGAACACAGGTCCAGTATGGAATTTGCACCTTTTTCTTTTCCCCCACCTGCCTTCCCCCTATGGAGGTGGAGCCAGATCTGTCCCCGTCAGCACCTGCTCTGTTTCCTAAAGGGAGCATTAGAGTGCAGCTGCTGCAATGCACACTCCAAACTTGTCAAAGACCTGCACTGATGCTTAACAGCGCACGTCTTTGGTAGCGTCGCAGCCCTGGCACAGGACAGTCTCTGCTCCATGCAATCCTTTCATGGCACAGGGAGCGTTCCTGGAAGTAAAAATAATCTAAAAGTAGCGGTTGGGCAAACTCTTATCACACCACTAATTTTTCCGCTCATCACCATGGGTTGAGTAATTATCATTAGTCCTGAGCTTCTTAGTGGTTGATAAAGTCCAAGATGAGCAGAAACATTGTGCAAACCAGCACGTACTTTCACGAGAAAAGAAAAACATTCTTCTACCTACAGCACTTGGGAGGAATAGAATCATTTTTAAAAGATCGTGAGTTTTTTTTTTTGTTTGTTTCAAGTACAACAAAATCTATTTGAAACTGCATGGCCACCAGTTCATAGGAACAAGGAATGTGCAGGAGACTGCCTGTGGCACTTTCTGAGAGAATTTTATCGCACAGCAGGCTTAGGCTTCAGAAACTGGCATTTAACATTCTGGAGATTATATTAAGGCATTTGTAAAGAACTCAAAATGAGCAATAGGGATTAAGTCTCTTTCTAAACAGAGTTTAATATTAATATATTGACTAAAGACTTTTCTATCATGCAGCTCAGATGAATTCAAAATGAAACAGAAAACATTCACTCAGGACCACAGGCAAACAGCAACAAAAATAAAACATTCACTAAAGGAACTTGGCTTAACTACATTTTGTCTTACCCAAACCTCAGAAGTAAACAGTTTAGATTGCTTTCCTCAGCAGACATCTCAGAAAACTCAATAGTAAGGTTTAAAGTGGTATTAAGTGCAGAATCAGTGCTTTAGAATGCAGTCATTGGCAGGATTGGGCCGTGATTCCCAGTACAGACAGAACCTTTTTAAAGGACATGGAGGGGTGTGAAATACGCCCTCGGAAACATGCTGAGGAAGTGTCCTGCAGTATAAACGCTGCCCTTCGACACGAACGACCAGCAAGGAGACCTGCAGAGCCCATCTGCTCCGCTTTGCTTAGTGTTAAGCTGTAGTTTTACTCCGTCGCGTCACGCCGACATGACTGTGCTGTGAATCACTGTACATGACGCGGATGGAGGCCACCCAGGGCTGATGAACCCCTTGAAAGCGGACTGCCACTTGATTCGAGGAGGAAGAGGGAGACTATAATTCAGCACAGACAAACTAAACCCTGACAGAGCCTGCCACAAGGGCCTGGTTTTGTAAGCGTTGTGTGGGGCTGAAATATGCCACAGGAGAGACAGACACTCTGAAAAGGTCCAGGAGCCCAACATTCAGACGGTAGGAACTTTAGCGCCTGGGGCTCGCGAAGGAAATGCCTCTTGGCCGCTATGTTCTTGCCTGACCTCTACTTCAATCGAAACCAATGGCGGTCAAACCGACGTCTGTTAGTGCTTCTCATCTTCGTGAGGGCTGGACGAAATCCTGTGAGCCGAAGCCGGAATCACTCCGCGCACCCGGGAGACTAAGAAAACAGATAAAAACACCCCCTCCGTCCTTGTGTGCTTCCTTTCAGCTCGGGGGGGCAGGTGTCAACCGGCGTCCGGGAGTGGGGCTCGTGCGGGGTGTGCCCTGGCGTTACCAGCCCGCGTAGACGGGCTCGGCGTCTTGAGCCCCCCCGTACCCGCGGCCCGGCGGCCTCTCTTTGCGCAGGAGGGGTGCCCGCTCCACAGCCAGCTCCCTGTCCCTCTCCCTCTTGCGCCGCAGGACGAGCAGGGCGACGACGAAGAGCGCCACTGGAACACAGGAACAGCGCGCTCAGGGCCTGCTCAACCGGGTTCCCCTGCCTGCCCCCGGGGCCCTGGCTCCGCTCGACCGCATGGCCCTCACAGGCCCGGACACCCGCAGGGCCTGCGCCGCCACGCGCCTGCCTGACCGGGCTGTTGAAACAGGGCTCGGCCCCTTCGAGGCGCGAAAAAGACAACAACCGAGCACTGAACCACCACGCCTCAGTGTAGCAAAACATCTCCTTTCCTCAAGCCAGAATGGAGGAAAACACCACTGCCGTGGCCGAATATCTCTTGCCATTTCTATCCGTTTGGCCAGAGCACGGAGACTCGGGTCAGCGGACCTCAGCCCTGCTCTTGGGATGCTCCTGTGTGCCGGCTTCTTGCTCCACCTGGGCCCTAGAGTGCCACTACTCGATCTGCTAGCTGAGGCTTTTTTTCTGTACTCAGGCTTTGGATTCAAAAATATCCCAGCAGAGTGGTTATCAAATCCTGGTCCTAGGTCACCCCTGCGTCTTCTGATTTTTGCTTCCGCGACGCACTCTTTAAAATGAAGGAGATTGGTCTTCGTCACGAACCCGGAGTGATTGAGGGAATTCATCAGTGTGCCTTCAGAAGGAGGAAGAGCGCTGACTCACTGTGGGAGACGTCTGACGCAGCGCCAGTCCCACCTCTGTCTGGCCATCTATTAATAGCTGTCCAGTCAGAAATAAGGGAGCAAATTCTTAAACAGCAAGCCTGGGAAAGACAACACAGTTCTGCATGCTGGAGTTGTTAAAAATGAGCGTACTTGAACAATTATATTTGAAGCCCAGTGCAGAAAAAAATGTTTCCCCCAGGAGCAGATCTGTTTCCTGCTCCAGTTAGCGCTGGCGATTAAGGGCCCAGTGGAACAAAACCCAGCAGACACAGGACTGAGGTCCGCCGGCTTAGCCTGACGCTAGGAGAAGAGGCTGGTGTGCCGCTCTGCCTCGGGGATACTCACAGCCTCCTGCGATGACCAGCAGGGCGATGGTGACGGGCGCCAGCTCGCAGGTGTCTCCTGCCTTGCGCAGGAAGGTCTCCATGCAGTACCCAGGGGCAGTGCTGCCCTTGGGACAGAAGGCGTCGGCAGGACACTGAATGGGGATCACGTCAGGGCTCTGCAACAGGAAGCAGGGGGGGAACATCAGTCCAAAAGCCAGAGAGCCTCCATCTGCACCTCCTCCGTGATGTCCAGCTCCCAAAAACGGGGAATGAATCGATCGAGCCTGCCACTCGTGCAGAGAGCACACAGACGGGTTCTTGCTACAGACGGCCAGGGAATGATGGGAGTGCTGCTCTTCCTATGGCGCAGGGACGCGTGTGTGGTTCTGGGACGTCCAGTCGCACAGTCAGCAAGCCAGCACATAAGGCTTCTGCAAAGTTTAAAGAATCTACCTGCCGTAGAACATACAGTGACCTTACTCCCCTCACCTTGGCTAAAGCACACACATCTCGGAGATCAGCATCAGCACTATCTCCCTCTGTGTGCTTAGAGCTGCACGGCCACTCACTCACAGGGGTCAGCATGCTACAGCTGCAGCATGTTTCTTGGTCTTGGTTGTGTGCAGGGTGGTCAGGCTGAACCGGTCGCCACGCTGCACCCGGCTGGGACATTGATCTTTGCAGGAGGGAGGCGGAGAAGGACTCACGGGACAGTAGTGATCCTTGGGGCAGATCTCGCAGCTCTCCTGGCCCCAGTGGATCTGGAAGAAGCCACTGTTACAGATCCTGCAGATGGTCTCGTGGGGCTCCTTGTACATTCCTGAGGGTGACACAGGGATTCGTACAGTTCAGTGGCTCTAATCCAATGGAAACGATACAAAGGTAATAAGTGGAATGAAGTCTAGCAATGTGTCTGGACTGTATGTCACACAGCAGGGGGATAGTCTAAAACAACCGTGAGGAATTCAGATGCTACAACGTCAGGTGTTGTAAGATTCAGTTGAATTAATCAGCTGTTGATTTGTGGGACGAGGAGAAAATGGCTAATGTCACAGAGCAAGCAAATGCAGGTGTGTTCCCCCCGTCTGTCCTCAAAGAGGAGGAAAAATATGGAACAAGTAAGCAAGCATCTCAGATAACGCCCCTCCACCCACAGGGGTTCAATCAGGTGGTCACACTAACAGAAAACACACTGCACGGGCCGAAGAAACAATATTGCATAAAAGAAACCCATTCAGCACACTGAAATGGATGAAAAATAATTCTTATTTTCAGGAACACTGTTTGTCCTAGCCTCTGTGCGTGCGATGGATGTTGTGCTGTAGTGCCGTGTGGGGCTGACTGAACGGTGCTCCCCGTGGTCGGCCGGTGGGTACCTGGGCGACAGGGCGTGCACTCCCTGGAGGCGGGCTTCAGGGACTCTGCGCCCCCCGGGCAGGGCTGGCACTGGGCACAGCTGGAGGAGCTGGAGAGAGGAGAGAGGGCAGGACTTTCAGGAGCTAGTCTGCACAACCCACCAGGGCAGACAACCCACGCCTCTGTGCACCAGCCTTCACCAGGAACAGTAATTTGTACACCAGTAATATAACCAGACTTGAAGAGATGTTCTCTCTATTTGCATTCGGCCCTGGCAGTCTGTTTCTGGAAAACTCCGCTTCTAACCTCTGTTCCACGGAGGGAAGCATGTGACCGTGTTTATCTGCGGACTGAGGGAGAGCTTGTGCTGGCAGTCATGTGAGACACTGGGACCGGGAGGCGTGTGCAGGCGGAGGCGATTTGCGGACTGCGATGTGTTAACCACGTAGATCTCTCCTCTTTCAGCTCTCACACTGGCCCACCACCAGTTAGTCTTATTTCAATCAGTACAATCGGTGCGTCATAACATTTCAGTTGTGGAGCCTTCTTCAGGTGTAGACATACCTGAAGGACACAACTGAAGAAAGTCTCTTTTCTTTTCAGCATGGAATAAATTGTGAACTATCCTACCACTGGTGCATCGATCAGCCCATTCTGACCAGAACCAGACACAATCTCTTACTGCTGATAAGGCGTCTGTCCTTGGGGGACAGCACATAAGGCGAGACCTGCTCAAGGCAGCTAACACACACACAGGAATCTGCACAGATACAGGCAGGACATTCAAACAACAGTTCAGAATCGAACCCAGGGCCCAGGAGTGGGGAGAACTCTTCACAGACTGCCCAGAAACAACCAACAACCAAGATCTTCCCTCAATCAATGAAGAAACGTATCATTGTGTTAAAACAAAAACATTAGTGTTGAACTTGGTGATTTCAGATGAGTAAGTATTTGGACACTTTCATATTTAAGTAAGTGTCAGGAGTGTAAAGGTCAGTATTTGGCTGCATATCCCATTGAAGCAAAAACTGCAAGAGGTCTGCAACCTGTTGAGCTCTTTGTCTATTCCTGGGGTGTTACAGTATGGCTTCAATTTTGTCTTCAGCGGGTAAAACTGGATTTAAACCCGAAGACTGACTAGGCTGCGCTGACTGGATGTTCTGGGCCCCTGTACTGCTCTGTGGTGAAGCTTTGTCTTCTACATGAGCAGACAAAACGTCTCTAAACTCCAGAATTCATTCTGCTGCTGCCATCTTTAGTCAAGTCACCAACACAGATGAGTGAGCCAGTGCCACAGGCAGCCCCTCATGCCCAGTCCATGCCTCTCCCTCCACCAGGCTTCCCAGAAGCTCTGCTGTTCTTTTCTCCACACTTCAACCCCTCCACCAGTCTGGAAAAGGTTTATCTTAGTCTCTTCAGGCCATAAAACGTTGTTTTCAAACTCTCCTGAAAATTCTCGTCTGGCTTTTCTGTATTTGGTGCCGATGAGGATGTGGCCTTAGTAATTCTGCAGTCTGCCTCTGTCTTCTGTGAGCTCACACCTTTCAGGGCTCCCCCTCTCCTTGTGGAGCAGTTTGCTGCTTTTGCTCCTTCAAAATAAAGATACTCAGCACTATCAATGTGACTAATTGACCCAAGATGGGAGTAGAAAATTGACTTTATTAAAAATAAAATACCGTACTTATCAGTTATGCTATTTTCATGATTGTTCTACTTCCTACAGAAAATCCTAGTTTAGACTTCACTTTCCCAGCACTGCATATATCGGTTTTCAAATGTGTTTTTTAGGTAAGGATCTGAGGTAAGGTCCAGGTGGACCACTATAGAAGAAACAATACAAGAAGCATTTCAAATGTATTTAAAACTGAGAACATGTTACCCAGCCATGCTGCTGGCTCCCCTTCAAACGCCTGGATCAGATCCTCTCATCGGGGTCCGAGCACCCAGTCAGCCCGCTGGGCCGAACGCCCTTGTCCCACGTTCTAACGGACCTGGGGGGGGGGAGGCCAGTCGGCCCAGCTAGCTGGTGGCTCAGTAACACTCGTCTTGAAGGATCCTCTAGAATCCGCTTAAACAGCATGGCTCCTACAGACACCCACAACTCTTTGTGTAAAGAAATGCCTCCTGAATTTCCACAGGAATCCTGTAGCCTTTTCTGTCTCCTCCTGAAGTGGCAGGGCCCCGACTAGCTCTGCTGGTAGAGCATGAGACTCAATCTCAGGGTAGTGGCTCGGTGCCCCACGTCGGGCTGGCTCCAGGTCCTCCATGTTGGAGGTTGGGCACAAGGATAACAGCCCTGTCCTGTAAAAAAACTAATGTTGCTGCCCCTACATGCGGGAAGGCATAACAGGCAAACACCCCCCCCCCCAACCTGAGTGCCTTAGATCAAACCCCTGAGCAGGTCTGAAACTGCACAAAGTGCTTGGGTCCACATTCGGTGTCTGATCTATCAGCAAGGCAGCTGTTTACTGGAAACGTTTGCTATCTCACATCTTCTAAGATCATGAGAAACCAATAACAATAAAGAAGTGTAACAAATCCAAAAAACAGACCGTGACCCTGGAATACAGCAGGATACAGTTCTTAACAGTCATCACATCACACATTTATACCAGTGTCTGCAAAGATCCAGTGCCGTTAGTCAAGGATTATACAATATGAAGGCGTATCCAATAGTTCCTGTGACTAATACAGACTCCTTCCCGAGTGTGAAAGCAACAGTTCAAAGACAGATCAGTTGCTCTGGTTTAAAGCAAATTTGCCAGATTCATTTTCACGCTTACAGTACAAAAAACACCATACTCTAGAAAAACAAACCAAATTACACAAATGTCCAGCCACTGAAACACGGTCAGTAACGCAAAGTCCTCGTTTATTCCTCTGCGTCTGCAGCGCAATTTTGAAAGAAACTGAAAAACGACTTTCTCTTCAAATAGATGGTCCTGCGGCACAAAGGAAGCTGGTCTTACTACATATCATTTCCAGTCTCGGGCAACACAGGAAAAGCCTGCACATGAGCCCCATAAGTTCTCTTTACTTTGCCTGATGTGTACCAAGAAAAAACATTTAGCATATTTGTAACAGCCGAAATAAAAAAACTGGGATGTACGTAATAATCCAGATATATTTTGCAAATATAACCGTAAAACCTTTAATTTTCAACATGTACAGTAATAGCAGCTCCTTGGCTGATGACCCATCTCACCTTCGAGAACACCTCTCATGTCTACTGCCATGCCTTGCTTGAACACGAGACGTCTCTGTCTTTTTTAACTCTTACATTGCCATCTGAGCTCCCACCATGTTCCTTACACCCTCCCATCAACCCAAAACCTTCAACTGGCTTCCTGCCATCAAGAAACCAACATCAAGCCCAACGACCAGTGGCTCTTACTTGCAGAAGGTTCCCAGTGGGCAAGGATCACAGGAAGTGGCGTTTTGGCGAGACGTGTAATATCCTGTTCAAGATAAAATGCCCATCAGTAACAGTATAGTTGAATCTAACAATGATTCAGGAATAAGGCATGAAGACAAATTTAGGTTCACACAATAAGAGCATGCAGGAAATTGGGGAAGTTTCGTGTTTTTTAAAATCCAGATGATCTTGTGAATCTGTACATTTTAGGAAAATGCCTTTCCTGTAAAAGAAACAGTGAAACATGGCAAAGACTACTGAACCCGAATGAAAAATCCTGCTGTTTTCACAGCGTATTTGTTCATGAGCAGTGCACAAAGACAATGAGAAATACAATAAAAGTTTCCTTTGTTCATGTCTTTTTTTGCACCAACAAATTTTCAAGGGTTTTGTTCCTATAATTCTCCCCATCTTCATATTAATTCCTATCTAGCAGTTTTTTTAATTGGTGTACAACTTCTTTTTGGCTCTGACACGTGCTGGCAGTGGTGAAGTTTGTCATTGTTTGCTTGTTTAAGTGTTCCCAGGGAGCTGAGTAACACGCCCACTGGCCAGTTGTTACGCAACTGTAGTCATATGAGCTGACATTTCCCCAGAAAACTCCTTTGATAGTTTCTCTTTTCCAGTGTTGAAACCCTTATAGGCCAGCTCTCCCATTTTCCACTGCAGCTCACCCAGTTTAGAATAATATTGCTTCAACTACACTTTGCTAAAAATCTTTCTTTATTTCCCTCCGACACGTACGGCTATTCCGTTAGACCACCACAATTATAAGCATGACTGAACTATCTGCACGGACACAAATACAAAGTGTGGTAGTTACTGGCAGTGGACAAAAAGACTAAAACAGCTCAACTAGCCGATGTTTTTAATCAGTAACGGTGTCGGCATGGATCTCTGAGGGAAAGGCATCGGCAGCAAAAGGCACCAGGATTGCGCTGTCTGTGTATTGATTTGAAGCACAGGGCAAAATAGGCCATCAGGTGCAGGTCAATTGACTGCAACATTCAACCTGGGGCAGCAGTTTAGTCAAAAACTCCCCAGAGCGGGGACACCAGGAGTGCACAGACCACTCATCCCAAACGGCAGTGTACACTTTAACGTCTATTGGTGCCAAGAGCAGCAGCAATGGACCACTGAGCAGTAATGACAAGATAATAGAATGGTCAAATCAGTGATCCTTCGCCATGTTCTCGACACATGGATCGTTGTTAGTCTCTACTCTTCTCTGTTCAAGGCTAAAGAGATTCATTTCCTTCGGCCTGTGAGTATAGGAGTCACAGCGCTTAAGCCCCGGAATGTGTCTGGTTGATCTTCTCTGGATGAATTCCAGGGCATCATAGTTTTTTTCTGGAATGTGGTCATCATATTTGTACCCAATATTATAAATGAGGCCTTACTAGCTATTACACAATTTTTACATGAAGTCCCTTAATTTGAACTCTGCTCTGTTGATGACATATCCTTGCATTTTGTTTGCCCTTTTAACTGCTTCCCTTTACTCCAAAAGCCCAGTCTGAGGCTCATTGTTCCAGAAATGCGGCTCGATCTGTATCTCCACAGCCTGAAGCGGATGTGTGTGCGCATCCTCTGAGCAACACAAAACCGCACGCTCCCGAGACTGGCAAGTGAGACGCAAGTGAGAGAGAGCAGAGGAGCTGTGCAGGTGGCCTACCTGGAGAGCAGGCTGTGCACGCCTGCGAGCCAGTGGAGTTGCCGAAGGTGCCTGCTGGACAGGAGAGACACACGGGACTGCCGGTGGAGCTGAGACAAGAGAGGGGAGAGACATCAGACACCACAGAGACCTGACTTTGGTAGTGAAGACTCAGGTTGATGTTTTTAAACAGGGCAGGGCCACCCAAACTCACACCTGATTGTTATCCCATTGATTGACACTCCTGACTCTAATTATCCCCTTAACTGAACTGATAATCCTAGAGGTTCACATACTTTTTCCGACAAAGACATTTAGTGTTGGATCATTTTGATCAATAAAAAAATGAAAAAGTATATCCTTTTGTGTGTTATTTGTTTTATTGGGTTCTCTTTATCTATTTTCATGACTATTTTCACATCAAATCTATGCAGAAATTCAGAAAATTCTAAATGGTTCACAGACTTTCTAGCACCACTGTAAGCGCAGTTCATGCTGCGGTCTAAAAATATTATTTCTAAAGCTATTGAGGTTTTTCCATGTTCCTTTCCAGTGTCTGTTTCCTTCAAGTACAAACGTGTTGTTGGGACAGAAGCGTGTCTAGACACACAGGGACTAAAAACAGCACCGCAGATAAAATAGTGCAAAGGGCAGAAAAGGAAACAATACTGTGGTGAATACAACGTGCACTTCGCTTGCTTATCCTTACTGATTGCGTATTTCTGAGCAAACGTGGAGTCTTGTGAAATGGGGGCCAGAGTTTCTTAAGACGGAATAAAAAGCCTACGGCGCTGTGCTCCAACTCGACAAGGAAACACACAAGCGCACCACAATCGGCAAGCACTGAGTCACGACACTGGCAGGTCACCGTCGCCCAACATGAAGAGACCAGGTCTCCAGCTGGCCAGGTCAGCCCTGCAGCGGTGCGGTGCTTCGGTGACAGAGTCTGAAGAAGTCTGCTTTGAGGAAGGCGGATGCGGACAGACAGAGGAAAAGACGCTAAGCTGCCTTCTAACACACACAGAGGGCAGAGTAGCCGAGAGGGAAGGGGCGCTCCAGATTGCGGACAGATCTAATTCGTGAATTAGCGCAGTCAGAGAAAAGAGCCAGCTCTGTCCTGTGGAGAGGTGGCTGGGAGGGGCACTCACTTGGTGTAGAAGCCCTGGCTGCAAGGCAGGCAGAGGTCCTGAGCGGCCAGAGGTTGGTAGTGCCCCCTGGAACAGGGCAGGCAGTTGCTCTGAGCCACACACAGCCCGCGCTCTGGGCAGCACGAGCACGCCAGCGTACCTGGGAAACAGAGGGAGGAGGTACCACACTACTTCAATTTACTGTTTATACATCAGTCCATGAAACTCATGGAATTAAACTCACTACTACAGTTACAAACAGAGCCCTGTATTATGGGGCTGTATACTGTACATATTTGCAAAGGAACAAGTAAAGGTTTATTCCCTGCTGAAAAGAGAAGAAAGGAAACAACGTTTGCACTGGGGAGCCTTCATCAGGTGCGAGCCTTCTTCCTTACACCCGAAGAAGGCTCCGCACCTGAAACGTTGCGTTTCCTTTCTTGTCTTTTCAGCATGCAATAAACCTTTACTGGTTCCTTTGTAGCCCACACCTGCTGACGCAGCTGCCCACCTGGACTACTGGACATGTATGCCTATATGGAGAGGCACTGGTTGCTTGGCTCTTTATATCAGAACAGGCTACGAGCGCCAGAAGAGAGGTGAGGCTGTCTTTTAGGGCTGACAGAGCTCAGGAGCCTTCACGCCTTTCTGAATCATTTAAAACTGTCCTGCGGGACCACGTACTCAGCACGAGACATTAGTAGCGCGATCCTCACGGACGTTTTGCCATCGAATGCCGGTGGACGTAGGAAACGCCGTTTGCTCACCGTTGTCGTAATAGGAGCCGGGGGCGCAGGCCACACAGCTGGAGGTGTTGACGGCGGAGCAGTCTGGAGCCGCTGTGCTGGGAGGGACCTCCGTGGTCACAGTGGCGTTCCCACTTCCTGTGGTGTTGGTCACCACGGGGGCAAGCGTCGTCTGGCCGACGGCCATTCCTGACAAGCAAACAGCGTGGAAAAAGAGGGCTGCAGTGAAATATGAACGGAAACGGTGACAGAGGTTTTCCCAGAACACCACCCGGTAGGATGCAGGGGCTCAGCTACATTGGGCCCCTTTATATACCTGTCCTTCTCCAGACAGGCCTGTATCTTCTGACCTGCTTAGTTTTCTCCCTTTGGAATTGTGTTGAGTTTTATTAAATTGTGCGGTTACGCATGTTGAAGTGCTTCGAGATGATTGCTTTTAAAGGTGCTGTTAAAAATGCCAATTCATACTGTTTCCTCCTACTGTGATTTCACTGATCACACTGGTGGAATACCAGGCGAAAGAGAAGAACAAACCCTTCTAAGTTGGTTTTCCTAAAGCCCCCCTCTCTTTTCGAAGATCTCCATTTTCACGAAGGGGTAACTGAGGCCACAGCCACACTGAACTCTCCCGGGGAGCAGCTCTGCAGGCCCAAAACAGCAGCACGCTTCTTGGGAAAAACACCTGGCCCCGTGTTTCTCAGTCACACCCATGAAGTGCAGCATTGCAAACATACCAGGGAAAGGAAAAACAGCTACAGCTACAGTTGTCCTTCTTTCACTTATGACTCTGCTGTGAGGCTTGAAATCGAGTTTCAGTAGAGGACAGACAGATGTGCGATGAAACTGGCTCTTTCCCCACTTGTGCCACTACAGAGCTCTTTCGCAGTTAGTGATTTTCTGTACACTGAAGGGCAGCCAACCACAAGAAGACAGCTTCTGTCTGACTTCCCCATTTTAAAGTCTCTTACACTTTCAGCAGAGTTTTTTTTTTCAAAAAAGGGTATAGGCTAATTCATGGAGCTTGAACACACAAACCCTTCTCAAAGCAACTTCAAGAGAAGGGAAAAATGTGTATCAGATTTGATCATAAAGATCTCTTAGGAAAATTTAATGGAAAAGACGCAGATTGTGAAGGTTTGTGGATTAGCCGATATAAGCTTGGAAGCACTGATCCTGAGTGCCATCTCCTTCAAAACTATATTCATTTCCAGACCATATGTCACTACATTTTAAGCGAAACTGAAATCCAGTTTTGGACAATGTGGTTCACTGTGAAGTACAGGAGCTTCCACATCAGAGTCTGTAATTACTTAGAGAGTGGCAAATTCACAATAAGCATGATCTGTGACCACGAGCAAACATTAACGCAACCTTCTTTACAGACACCTCCCTCCAGAGCTGTGGTGAGTGTCTGTGCTCACCGCTCATCATCTGTGAATCACAATCTGTTGACATGTTGTCAACAAAACCAGGATCTTTATTTCTGAAACAGGGGTGGGCTTCAGATGACTTGATCACACCCTAACTTCAGTCACTACATGCAGAAGTCTTGTCTGGTGCTTTCTGTTGTGAACTACACTACTTTTTTCATGAGTTACAGCAGTAAACACTGCAATCGTTGTCATTCTTATTATGACCATTTTTGTCACATGCAAGTTTCACTGTTGGTTTTTAGTGACTTGTGTTCCCACCACAGTTTCTGTTCAAAATCTCCGATCTGTAGGCGATGTCTGGCGATGTTGCAAAGCAGGTTTTCACAATGTAACTCTGACTTGCCAAGCTTGTGACACTCCCGATGCCCAGGCAACCACACCCTGCAGGGCCCTGATTCAGTAGAATATCCTACAAAAACCTGCTGGTGTCACATGTTAGCCATCAATAACTCCATCCTACTCCTCGGGGGTATAATCTTCCACATTACTAACAAATGACTAAGGAATCAGGTATTAACCACGTGAAAGACAGAGATTATTCTTTATTGCCACACAACAATAGTTGGTGGAATTTGCCTTCATGACAGCAAAGAACACAGCTGAAACACACATACGACATATACAGTACAGGAGACACACAAACATCTGTAACTGTAACATATGTAAACAACTTGCCATGTAGCAGCATCATTACACAGCGGACTTCGGAGTCCAAGGTGAATTCAGCGCTGGTGTTGGCAGTGGGAAAGAGGCTGAGGTTGAAGCGGGCAGGCCTTGAGAGGAAGGGTTTGAAACGTTTTCCAGAAGGGAGAAGCTGAAAGGGATTATGAGCTGGGTGAGAGGGGTCTGAGGCGATTTTCTTGGCACGATAGGAGGGACGGCTTGAGTAGAGAGATGAAATGGAAGAGAGTTCACAGCCAACAATTTGTGCAGCTTTGGTCCCAGTCCTTTCCAGTTTGCCTTTGGAGCAGTTATCCAAGCTCCCACACCAGACTGTAGTGGAGCTTGTCAGAGCACTTTGGATTCTGGCTGTGTAAAAGTGAAGGAAAGCAAAAGAGCCTTGATCCTGAGTGACAGGGCCAACGGTCTCTCTTTGAAGTTATCACTCTTTCTTACAGGTTGTATAACTCACATACAGTGCAATGGATTCTATGGCAATACAGACTCAGCGGTACTTCACAGGACCTTTGATTCCTCGAATTGAAAACAAATATGGGTATTTCACTGGAAAATCCACCTACAGCAAGAAAGTACTACTGGAATTTTTTTCTAAAGGTACTGTACATAATACCCACAAAAATTCCAAAAAGCCTTAAATTCTAAAAGTAGTAGTAGTAACCGGATAGAAATATATCTGGCAGATACTTTTAGCCAAAGCAGCTCACACATGCACTGATTCATAGAGCTGGGTATCTTACTGTAGCAGCTTTGCTCAGGGGTACAGCAGCAGTGTCTCACCTGGGATTTGAACCCATAGCCTGCTTGTCACAAGTCGAGAACCTTCATCGCCGCTCCACACTCCTACCCTAGTCCACTCCCACCTCTTCACAAGGGGCAAATGTAAATCAAGGAGACAAAACCTCTACAAACATGTTAGAAGACTATCTCAATCTTCAGCTTTTTGCTTGATTGCAACGTCAAAGAACAGGCACTGTACATGAACAGTTCTCAGCACATCCTGGTGTACTCAAGGGCAGCTGAATGAAGTAACACTTACAAAAAGAGCCCCATGAACCTGTACAGTACTGTGATTGTGTGGAGGTAATCTTATTAGCCTTTGGCCCAAGGGAATTCTTCTGGGAGGGGCACTCAACAGAGTAATGCAGTTACTCAGAGCTGGTCATGAGACGACTTGTGGATTCAACACTATCCCTGAGATTTCAATGGTTCCTCTGATTTTCATTCAGAATCTTTCTTTTTCAATCATTAATTAAATAAAACACATATGTATATAACAGATGAGGCAAACTCTCATATCCTTTTGGAGTGAAATGTAAATGTGAGCTCTGGCGTCAGTTCCCACACATACTGCAGATTTTCTCCTGTGTCGTCTGAAACACACTGGGCTCTGAGGTGTGACAGAGAAACGTCAAAAACTGTCCAACTCCAGTCTGGGGAACCCAGGAGGTCCTAAAGGTCTGTTCTACTCCAGCACCCTCAGAACTGGAGCTCTTATCTGATCATCAGAGCCGGGACTCATGTTGCTGGTTCCCTTAACCATCTTAATACAATTAATTTAAACTGTTTGATTGTTTTCAGCTCTTAAACATGTTGTTAAAATTGTAAATGAAACAGACTAATTTTTGAAATATCTGAAAGTTTATTTTTCTGCTCAATCAAGTAACTTCTTAGTTTCGTCCAATTAAGGCTTCGGTCAGATAAACTGGGCTGGAATGACAGCCAGCAGGCCTGGGTCTCCAGGACCAGGAGCAGAGTCTTACCTCCTGCAAGAGGGGGGCCTGCCAACAATTATTCAAGGAGGTGGGGAGTGGGTGGTTTCCAACAGATCACTTCAGCAGGTGACGCAACCAAAATTCCCACTAAACCGTAGGGCACGATAAGGAAAAATGTGCGCACAATGTTTTTTGTTCAAAACCAAGAGAACAAAAAAAGGAAGCACAATCAGGTTTGTTTTAAAGCCATCGGGGAAAAGGGAAACCACCTAGTAGCATCTGAAACTTTGAAATGAGTGTGTGAGTTTACGTAACGCTTGACCGATTTCTTCCGCAATTTGACAGCGCAACGAATCAGACAAGGAACTGAGACACCAGGACAAGGCTACATCCTAGAGAAGGCGTCCTGCATTCTGGAACAGGGATTTGGTGAGAGGAACCCAGCTCACCATCACAACATGCGTCTCAAAGAAGAATACATGTAAAAACAAATTCTCAATTCTCACAAGCTGTGGCTGTCTCTTCACATTCAGACTGCTGCAGGCAGAAAGCATGCTTCTGCTCCCGAATGCACTGGAAGTTTAAACCATGGCACAACCTAGACAAGAGAATTTCCTGGTTCTCATCGAAGGTAAGGACAGCACGAGAGAGAAGGACTGTTGAGCTACACAGAGGGGCATTGTGCATGCATATGGCCTCATGCTCTATGAATGGCACTTCAGAGTTTGGCTACGTACTGCCCCTGTGGCACACAACACAGCTCAGACCTGAACTGTCACCCAGTCATTTCTTATCAATGTATTTCCTGGATTTTCTTTTAATAGACAAGAACAACAATCATGACAATTGAGATGCCCAATGCCTCTCAACATTTAGTGAGGACAGCAGGGTTAAATAGTTCTAGTTGCCTGGAGCCTCCTGAGTGGCTCGACCAGTGCAGGTTGAGCTCTGTGAACACGGGTCCGAGCCTGGGTAGCGTCACAAGCCCAGTGTGACCGGAATATCCAGAGTAGCTGTCGACTGCGGCTCGGACAGAGTGGAATTCGTGGGCCAGGGCTCTCGGATCTCGGTGACACGACGCCCCCCAGTGGCCTCCCGCACAAGTGCAGGCATGTAGTGCTGTCAGTCAGAAACGCGCCTCTTCCGTAATTAATCATATTAATTCCTTACACTTATACGG